TCTTCAATAATTCGAAATTAATATACATATTCAAAGATTTGTTTTGATCATTGTGTGATTAAGTTAAAGTCTTAATCGTAGTCCTAATAATATTTTGGGGTAATGTTTTGCATGCAGGGAATTGTGAAGCAATCAGATGTGGAATCTTTCAATTTGCCGTTTTACAATCCTGACGAAAATGAGGTGAGGAATGTTATCGAAAATGAGGGCTCTTTTGAGATCAAGAATTTTGAGACAATATATGGTCTTCTTTTTTCATACAAAACTGGTCGTACGGAAGTAAAAGATGATGATGATATGGACCAATCATGTCGACTTGAAGTCGTTAAGAAGAGGGCAAAGACAATAAGATCCATCATTGAACCGATGCTTGTTGCTCATTTTGGAGACGCCATTATCGATCGTCTGTTCGACAAGTACACGTACCATTTAACCCAGCGTTACGATACCTTGCGCAACAAACCAACCGTTAATTTCTTTGTTTCGTTGATAAGAAAGTAATATACCTTGGGCCTTCGGTTTGATGTTGGTAATGGTTAATGAAATAATATAAATAGGTAATAATGATCCTTGGATCAAATTGGCCAAGAAAGTCAATTAAAATGTTATGTATGTGATGAGTGCATTGTGTGATTTTTGTGTTTTTTTAGTTGTGATTATGCAATTCTAAACATACATACGTGTATTTGTGAATTTCAAACCATTCAGTTTTAAAAAAGCAATAAATATCTTCATTTCTTCAAAGCCTTTTCATGAAGCTTTCATCAAATTGGACATCAATTCTATGAAAGCAATAAACAATGTTCATTTCATTTTGCATTTTTCAGTAACGATAGATTTCAGGGACTAAATACTATTCGTTTTGTACTCACTGCAACAACATCTTTCAACAATTAAAATCTTAAAACGCTAAAAATTTCAGATATTTAAAAATTTAATCGCTGGTCACCAAAACCTGTCGCAGAACTATAGACTATAAAATGTACATGAGTTTAATGGTTATTGCTGGTCACTGATCGCTAATAACTGCAAACCGAACAATAAAAAATCGTTATCACTTAGTATCAGCTTGCGAAATGAAAGCCCATAGGGAACACATTTATGATCGAAGTTAATTCGGTCCATTTATGTATTTACTGTCAACTACCACAGATCAATGATAGTGTTCGATTTATCACAAAACAACCAATCATTGTCCAAAAAAGAGAAAGCTATCTGAAAGATATGTGGCTGTCAATGTGGAGACGCTTGGGAGTGTCGGGGATATGGAAAATGGATCTGTCGTCTTGCTCAATGAAGGGTTTTTGGACATTTCTGGCACCAAGTTCTTAGCCAGACTAAGACTAGATACAAAATAATGAGAAATTGGTGTGAGTTAGGAAATACAATATTTAACGAGAGACTCAAGTGAACTGATAGGTGAAATAGAGGTCGACTAAGAGAGATACCAGGCAGAAAATAGTAATATAAAAAAAAAAAATCTAGGGGTTTTCAGATTTATTTGCTTATGTATTCGAAGCTATGTAATTCCTTTATTTTCGTTTTCAAATAGCCACAAAAAGTAGCTAGATATAGTCAGAAGCACAATCGAAGCTAATTAGCCACATCAATATATAGCTATAGTTATGGTTATTTTAGTCACACATTTATCAAACAAAAGAAACAGTAAATGATGTGACAAAAAAAAGAAAGAAACAGAGCTATATATTAAGTAACGTTATCTTGCTTGCCATTTGCATTTTTTATTCAAGTTTTTTTTATTATATATTTTTAAATGAAAATGCAATCATAATATATGGTGTAAGAATAAATGTATGTTTGTACATTTGAAGCGTATATATAGCGTATCCCTGCTAGTTCAAGGCATGATTTTCTAATCTAGATACACAAATACATTTGATAAAGAAATTGATTCAAACATTTTATGCCCATCATGTCTCTCTCAAGGTAATGGTTCATTTCTTCTATCTTCAAGTAAAACGGGAAGGTGATTTCCACCAGGTCTCGTTTTGTAACGAACCTTTTGGAAGCGATAATTTTGGATAATTTGATTCAGTTATGTGTGCAAAATTTGGTTCGGTTTGGTCTTAGATAAAACTAAAACAAAGTATACATAATTATTCAAAATTAAATCAGTATAACCAGAATCTTTGTTATAGTTAACCATTTTTGAATTCGATTTATTCATTTTTGTTGACATAAATTTAGGTCATGTTTACTGTGAAAACCTTGATATGAATCACTTTGGGACTAAATTTTTTAGTTTCATTTCGGTTTGGCTAATTTGATTGATATTTGGTTCGCTTAATATATATGCCCCAAACTTCCCATGATGTCTTTATGGAATTTTATCTGATTAAAGAAAGTTAATTGGTGTAGATATAAAAGGGACTCTTACATGGACGCTCTTAGAATTTAAAGGAGGAACTGGAGAACACAGTTACGCTACTAATGCACATTACCAGGTACAAAGGCACTCAGTAATGAATTGTTACGAAACTAATTAACATTTTGATGAAGAATAAAATATTGTGATATAAATTTAACTATTTCCCACATAGGAATTTTTTTTTTTTTAAAAAACTAACCATAACCTTTTTCAATGCTTTTTGTTAAAAAAAAGATAATTTTGAATTCCTATATATACAATGTCTATTTGTCAAAAACTATCCTTTTGAATTGTTGGTAGTGAAGGTGTTAACACTGTAGATCCTAATTAACAGTAAGTGAATGTCAAGTCTTTTTTTTTGACAAACCGACATAAATTTTTAAAATTCAATGGTTAGTAGCTTTTTTTCTTTTTAGTAGCTAGTTGATATTGAATTTGAGGAAAAATAAAGGGTGCAAAATAGTAGTGACTAGTAACTGGGAGGAATTGGAGGAAAAAAAAATAAATAGAAAAAATGAAGGGGAAGTAACATTTTTTTCCACCGTTTTGCTCTCATGTTTTGGAGAATAACAATTTTAGAAGAATAAGGCTTATTTTCTTCTCTTGGAATCGATAAAATTATAAAAAAAATAATTTCATCTTAAATGGTAGATTTTTAGAGGAAGTGGATGGAAAAGCCAATTCTCCTTAATTTTGTTCTTCTAACTTGTCAACCATTTGCACCCAAAGAAATTGGAAATTTTCTTTCTTTTTTTACTTGAATTTAAATTTGAGATATATCACTTAATCATAATTTCATTCATAAGCAAAAAGTCTATTAGACTTGCTTTTTTTTTTTTTACTTAAGTCATTTTTTCTAAATTTATGCATAGTTAAATTAATCAAAGTATGCAATATATATGAGGCTTTTGGGTTTACAGAGGAGTGTTTTCTATGAGATACAACATGCAGTGATAAAAAACGTAAGAGAAATGCTAGGGAAAATTGGTTTTCCCGGTTGCATCAAAGTGGCAGACTTGGGTTGTTCTTCTGGAAAAACACGTTCCTAGTCATGTCCGTAATCGTCAAGACCATCAAATAATTATTCAAACAAAAGGGTCAAATCAACTCACAATGTTGTTTGAACGATCTTTTAAAGAACGGTTTCAATACTACCTTCAAGTTGAATCCTTCCTTCCTAGAGAAGTTGGAAATGGAGGTTAAAGGAAGGTGCATTGTCTCTGGAATTCCAGGTTCCTTTTACTTAAGGCTATTCCCAAGCAAGTCTCTTCATTTTGTTCATTCATCGTTTAGTCTTCATTGGCTTTCTAAGGTTCCTGATGGGCTTGAGAACAACACTAAAAGCATACATATCAAAGATCCATGCCCTCCAAATGTCTAATAAAGTTATTCGAATCAATTCAAGAATGACTTTTGGTTGTTCCTAAGAATGCGATCAGAAGAAATGATGCATAATTAATGGACATATGGTTCTCATTTTCGTGGGGAGAAAGGTTTTGAACCCTTTATCCAAAGACTGTTTCCAAGTTTGGTCATTGTTATCCGATTGCCTCCTCGATCTAGACCTAAACCCATAAAAATTCGAGAATCCTTTTCATTTAAAGCATCTACAGTAACCAAACGTGATTGAGATTGTAACGGACTAAACTTTATTTTTTAATAATTGTTTCAAGTAATAATTGTTTTGGATAATGTGAGTCTAGGGGGTTGTGAAGGAATCAGATATGGAATCGTTTAACATGCCATTCTACAATCCAAGCGAAGAAGAAGTCAGAGAAGTCATTTTGAAGGAAGGGACATTCGAGATCAACAAGCTCGAGCAATTTGACCATATTTTTCCGTACAAAATTGAACATATCGAAGAAGCAGATGGGACCAATCACTTCAGTTGGAAGCTGGTAAGAAACAAGCAAGATGGGCAAGATGCATCACCGAACCATTGCTCGTTGCACATTTTTGAGATGCGATTATCGAGCCCGTCTTTGATAAGTACGCACACTATATGGCCAAGTATCTAAGTGTTCCAAACCATCGCCCTAATATGACAGTCATCATCGTACTTTCGTTGACTAGGAAATAAAACTCCTAGTTATGTCGCTGCCAGTAATATGTTGATCCATGCCTTTTGTATGAGTCAACAAAGATTTGAAGCTTTGGAATTTTTGGATGGTTTATCCACAAAAGAATGATTATATATTTTTGTTTTTTTTTATCACAAGAATGATTATAATTTAGTTTATTGTCAATATTAAGTCAATGTTTCTGCACCGCATGTAAAAGTATATAGTCTAGCATAAATATATCGCAAATATTTAAAAATAACATTACTAAAGTATATAAAATATCTCTACATATTTTCATGAGAGTATATAATAGTACTTCCAATACTATATTTCATCACTTCTGTCTCAAAGATCAAATAGACAAGAAAGTTAAAGAAGTTGTGGAACAATAATATACAAAT